TTTTTTTTTTGTGCAAAACAGGAAAATGTTTTGTACTTGTCTTGTGTAATTCTTCAAGTTTTGCTTTTTCATTCCATCCATTGAGTTTGGAAAGAGAGTAAACATTATCAAAGTTACGTGTACTCTTTCTTTGTGCATTGGGAAGAAGGTTGAAGAAAGTTTTGAGTACTTGCATGAAAACAAGAGAAATTCATTGAAGCTTTCAGTTTTTGTCTTTCTGTGTACTGTGCCTTTAAAAATCATTGCTGCATTAAATTCTAAGTTCTGTCTTAGGCTAAAAGAAGTATTATAATTATGACTTGTTTTGTCTTGTACCCAAAGAAATGTTATTGCTTGCTCTTTTCCAGGCGATCAGGGGAAGAGTTTTAGTGAGACTGTAGAAGAACTGAAATATCGCCGTTCTCTTAAAATTGCCCTAGATATTCTGAACCAAAATGACTCATCCAGGCAAGTACCACCCTCAGAAGAATCACCAAGTACACAATTATCCCAGAAGAACAGTACAAGATCTCTCTCATGTACCCCCTTAACTACTCGTCAGTCGCTCCGAACTAAAGCATTTGAGTTTGAGACTCCCAAGAAGAGAAGAGAACAAAAAAACAGCCCCAACCTGAAAACTGATATAAAAAAACAAAAGTTGATGCATTCTTTTATTTTGGAAGAGGATGCTAAGGCACATGAAGATAAAACAAAACCTTTGGAATATAGGACTAGTGACTTGGGTAATATGTCAGACTTGGAAAGTGTGAATTGCAAAAGGACTGAGTCAAAGCCACAAAGAAAGCAGAAAACCGTCAAGCCCAGACAGCTGCCAAAGTCCCAGACAAAAAGTAAATCCTCACTTAAGCCAAAGGAGGAGAAAAGCAAGCAAGAAAGTAAAAGGCCAAAAGGTGCAGGGTCGTCCATATCACATGTTAATGACTTGCTGAAAGATCAAGTGCATTCTCCTACTGAAAAACGTAATCCTGTGCCTGTGTCCTGCGAGTCCAGCACGACAGTATCTGTCAGACGAAGGGCAAACACCAAAGGTCAGCCTAGAAGGACAGCACTGGGTTCTTGTGAATGTGCCCAGGATGACTTGGAGAGCCGCATCAGTAACGAGAGTGAAAATCTAGCAAAGAAACTGGATGGAAGAAAAAAGCCAGTGAATTTAAAACGCAAAAAACAGGAGATCAATGCGAGTCCGTCTTCGTGCAGGAAAAGCAAAAGCAGAAATGTCCCCGAGTCTTCACCTGGGCCTTCAAACCATGGAAATCTTTCTGATAGTCTCCTGCCTAAGCTTACAGAGGAGGAAAACAAGAATACTTCACACATACTTAAGAATAAAGTAAAGGACTTTCAGCTGCCTGACTTTGAGGAAGATGAAGGTGAGCATACCTCTTGGAAGGGAAAGCCCCATGCCTCTTGATTCCCAAACAGTGTTTTTCTTATCTTACTGAAATGTTGCAGGGTAGTGGTTGTTGATGAGGTTCTTGAGATGGTAGCCTTATGCTAAAATATTTTATTATTTTGAGGGGGGGAAAAAATCATTGCTCTAATAGTGGCTAAAGCCATATTTAGGTTGACTGTATGTGTTTAGTGTCTTGTACTGAAAAATCATACTCATCAGTGCTTTATGCCTGTCACTGGATGGCTTGATTTCACTTGGAATTTTGTCTTTAATCCTGTCTAGTTAATGTGCTGGTCAGTATTGAGATAAATTGATGCTGTATAAAAGAATAGGCTGGTACAGAGCCCAAAAGCAAGCCCGTTCTTGTTCCTTTCCTTTTCTATTGATACACAAGTATGATCTCATTCATGACTCAAGCTGGGGAGTTTCTCCTGCTTTGGCTTTATGTGATGAATTCATTTGTAGTTGTCCTGTTTCCTTTCTAGCTGTCTCCATGGATTTGCTGCTTCCGATCATAATCTTGGGGCCTGCCTACTTTCTGATCTTTTAGGAAAGCAAAACTGTAGTAGCACAACCAAATTCATATTATTAGCCTTTACCTAGGCAAAGAATCTTGAGGGCCTGTATCATGTAACAGCCTCATGTTACAGTAATGCACATTTTTATGGGCAGCTTTAATATTTATGTATCTTATGTGGTTCAAAGCTGACTCTTTTGATCGTTTATACCTTTGCTTATGACTGCTGTTTGCTGCTTTTGGCAGGGTTGGAGTCTTCTGATATGTCTTCAAAGGTAGGTTCCCCAGAGAATCTCTGTCTTCTCTCAACTCTGGTAGATGAGGAAGAGGAGGAGGATGAAGAACTTCCTAGTATTCTATCTCATCAAGGTAAGCCATGAGTGTACTTGTTTCAGACTTACATGGAATAGTTCTTGTGTGGAGGAGGGTTGAAAAGTCAGGGTCAGTTAATTGTCTTGTGTCTCATTTGAAGACAAACAATTTCCACATTTCTGTTGCTTTTTGTCATAGAGCCACAGTCAATTGAAGAAGGGATTTTGGTCTGGTGCAAATTACGAAGATATCCATACTGGCCAGCAGTGGTAAGAGCAGCTCTCTGCCTTCTCAGAAGCTGTAAGAGGTCTGATAAGGAACAATTTACTAAAGAGACTTTATCCCTTCAACAGGTAAAAACACTGAAGCGGAAACACAGAAAGGCAAACGTGCTGTTGATAGAAGGGAATACAAATGACAAGACAAAAGGGTAAATGCGGGTTTTGCTTAGATTCTGAATCTTGGGTTTCTATTGGGCAGTCTTCTGTACTT